TGAAAAAATCATTTTAAAATAATTTAATAAAAGTCTTATTGAGAACATAGATGAAGTCTTTTAAAAATATAATTTACCATCAAAAAAGGTGGAGCTAATTAAAATTAATACAAAATTTTAGGTAATGAGCTGGCCAATGTTTCCCAAAATAAGTTGCGGGAAACAAACCTCTTTAACCTGTAAACTTTTCTAAAGAGCGCCCATGCTATGCTTGGTAACAATAAAGGTTTCTCACTTAATCAAATAAAAAACGAACCATTAAATTAATTCGTAGAAAAAGGTGTGAGAAAATTGACTTGTCTTCCGCTGCTACAGGCGAGTTCTCAAACAACTACAACAACAGCGAGGGTAACAAAATCAATTAGTTTCGCAGAATTTAAAAAAAAAAAAAAAACAAATCGCTTTTTCGAAATTACGGAAACTGTTGTAAGCAGAAAAGACCAAAGAAACAGCCAATCAACCAACAACCTGAGAAACAAGGTCCGACGACTACCAACAGGTAGCTCTAGATGTCGGATTAATGCCCAAGGCGACGACAAAGACTTTGATCTTAGCGCTTGTATAGGAAAATTGACTTTTGCACTTGCGTAGCTGGCAAAATTTTGGAAAACAATGAGAGCTGCTGCAAGCTACCAAAATGAGATCAGCGCTAAGGGTACGACCCTGTGCAAACATTTTAATTATGACATAGACCAGCAAGGGTGTAGGAAGTGAGGCAAAAACAACAATAACAGCCACTGTATCTTTGATGTCTTTCTTTTGCTTTCACTTCATTCCCGCCCGACCCGATGCAGAGGCCTCTATTCCTTTGCCTTGTTGCCGCCACCGCCAACAACTGTACAAGTAAGCCAGGTCGGCTCAGGTCCGGCACTGTTTTATCCGATAATCTACGACCCAATTGTGTAATTTTGACTATGGTCTCGGCCTGTCCTGCACATTTTACGCAGCTGGAATTCAATTTGGTACAACAATAAAGTTTCTTATTTAGGTTCGGTTAGCAATGATGATGAGTTATGAGATCAGTTCTGATTTTCTTGCTTGTCTTTGGCGAGATCAAACCAAACGGCCGTAGCACTGAGAGTATTATTGTGTGATGTGTAAAGAAGTTCCTGGAAGACATTGAAACTGCACTTTGTGTATCATTCTAATCTAATTTTTCTTTATGTTTATCAGCTTAGGAATACAAGTATTGGAATATTCCTTTAAGGTAAAGTAAATACTAAATCTGTAAAAGTTAAGGTTTTATCACACCTGGCCCATAATAATTCATGGCAACAGAGCTAATGTGAAATTATTGAAACTAAGTTAATTGTCACAATTGTCGTGGCATCTCAAATAGAGAAAGCTATTTTATTTAATTACATTTTTAGTTTTTTGTTAACTCTCCAGGCGTTTCCTGGTAGATTTGAAAATCACGAACTTCCTTAAAAACGAAATACATACAAGTATATTGTGGATTTAGTTATTTCTTTTGTGATGCAAGATCGATTCAATTCAAAGCAGCTATGGAACCCTTAAACCCTTCGTATCTGCAACATAACGCTTAAACTGAATTATTTGCAAAGTTTGAAGTGTATTTGATTTGACACTGAAATAAGCTAGTGAATTGAAATAATTATCACTTTTGGCGCCAATTTTGTGATTCGTGGGATGCAAGCAAATTAGAGGATTTCTGTATTAAAGTATTTTAAATATATAAAGTACAAATAAAAATGTGATAAATGTGGAGTCGCATTAAGCTCTCATAAAATGAATAATTTGTTTTTAAAATTTTCATTTACAGACGTTCTTTGACCCCAGAAACAATTTTAATGTAAAAATAAAACACATCGTTTTTTGTAAAAAAAAAAAAGAATACAAAATCACAACATTTCAAAAAAACACGTATGTATATTTTTATTTTGCCTTTTCTATCTAATGGAAAAAACCGCATTGAAATCAGAAGAAAAGTCATACGAAGGGTTAAATCTGAACATTCAAAGATGCAGCCCAAAAGGTGCTATTAAATAAAGAGTGTGAGTCCTTGGAGGGCTCTCGTTAAGGGCCAGAGGTTTGAAATAAATTCTTGGAGAGTCTGCCAGATAGTTGGGTACGTAGCGCTGGCTAATATGAGCCTCAGTTTCGACTGCACTCCAGTAAACAGACAGGGCACGTGAATGAAGAGCATACTACGACTGTTTGCCATTCGAGAAAAAAGTGAAAGAACTTGGCATTTAAAGCAAACTGCATTGCTGTTTCCGAAGACATTTGTCACTTCTGATGAAACAAACAGCTGCGGGGCCTACTTGTAGACTAGACATCTACTTCGTAGGAACAGATCTCCCACGCATTGTATGCGTAGCCACTTTGTACATTTCGAGTGACAAACGCAGATCATTACTCGAGTGCGCATCGACAGACAATACATCGACCAGCACAAACACACACAAACAAATGCCCAAAGTACATACTACTACGCGTTTAGTATGTACATATGTACATACTATTATGTACGGAGGAATATACATATACATATGTACATACTGGCAGGCACAGTGTGAGGGCGCAGGCTGGGCCATGACAATGGCGTTTCGAGTTGTTGTTTCTTTCTTTCCGAATAGATGCGCAGCCACAATACATTAAGAAAACTGTCAAAGCTGAATAGAACTTAAGAGGTTTAGCGCGCTCTTAACGTTTCTTTTTTTGTTGTTGTTGTTTCTTTATTTTTGTTCCTGATACCAAGCGAGTTTCTCTAAGACGACCAACCATGATGGGGAAATTACCTACCGCAGTCTGACTTAGTCTTTTATGTTGCCTGGGCAGGGGCAGGGGCAGAGGCATGGCCTGGGGCAGAGTCGGGGGCAAGATAAATAGAACAAGCCAGTGCCTCAGCGCCATTGTGGAGCCGCAGAGGTGCGGGTACGACTACGGCCACAAATGAAGTTATTAACTGGAAATTTTGATAAATGAGCACACGAAGCTAATAACGAACTTCCGGCGCGCTTTGGGGTCCAAGCTCATAAATAAGCCAACCGGGTAAATGGCAAAGTTTTAACGAATTTCTATGCGTGTGAGTGACTGTATGTTTGTGTGTGTGTGTGTGTGTGTGTGTGTGTGTGTGTTTGTTGAGGATAGGGCAATGGTTATGGTGTGTGTGCTGCCCACGCATGCCCGTTGACCCACGTTGCTTATCAAGTCTGAATCGATTGCTAGTTCTGCTGTTGTTCACATCGTGTGCGGCGGCCAATTAAAATGTGCCTGCGATCGGCGGGCGGCAAGCTAACAACTCAATACAATGTAAACAAATGATATACGGTCACACACAAAGTCTGTGCCCCGACCCCGACCCCGACACCGACTTCGACCCTAACCACGAGAACGGCAACGACACCAAAGCGAGCCTGACTGTGTCTCTGAGTCTGACCCCGACTCCGACTCCTACTCCGACTCGATTGAAATGTTGTTGCCGTTCCTACCTTTTGCTCGACATGCGCACAGCTGGACGCAGTCCGATCCACAATCCGGTCCGCTTTACATGAGTCGCAGTCGCTGCAAATCAATTTGAAAGAGATTTTCATTTGATTCGAGTTTGTCTAAAATGCAATAAAACTGCCGGAGCCTGTGGTTAGGCATTGGTGTGGTCTCAACTTAACAATCAGCGTCTCTTAATGTCTGTGTGTGTGTGTGTATGTGTGTGGAGATGGCATCGTCCAGATAAGCTGGCTAACAAGTTGAGTTGTCAACGCAGTGCCGTTGAAGTGTCGTTGAGTTATGGACTGGATTTGATGACTGCATTCAAAACATTTGCCTAATTGATCGCATTAGCTTGAGACTCAGCAGGCAAACCAGACTCAAGACTTCAATTAAGAAGGCTCCATTCACTGCCAGTTATTGTATTATCAATCAAATCTTAATTTCAGATTCTTTTATTAGAACATAAAACGGATGTATAGTGGGCATAAAATATCTGCTTTTAAGAAGATTGAATCGCAAGCTGGTTTGTAGGTTTTCCAAAACAAATTTGACACTTTTCAAATAAAAAGCACTATACTACGTGTAGCGAGCTTTGCTGGATTCGCGTTTGCACTGGTCCTAGTTTCCATATTTTTTTGAATTGAACCTCATCACTACTTTGCACTTTATTTTTCGGAGAAGAATCTGTCGCACACTAATGAAACATTTAAAAACATGAAAGGAATGCTAAAGTCGAGCAGGCTCAACTCTTAAATACCCTGTACCACCCCACAAAAAAAAAAAGTTATTAAAAAAATTTAATTAATTTAATTAATTAATCAAATTAAATATAAAATATTCCATACATGCATTTACATCAGAATCGTGTCTATGCGTGTTTGTGTACTTGTACATATGTATGTGTGCATTACATAATTATGTCAAAGCAGCAACAAATACAGCTGCGGATACAGCTTGGGCCTGGTTATATGGCTATAACTTTTTCAATCAGAAAAAATGAACAAACTCGTCCTTTCTCGGGCTTAGGAGAATCTGGATACCAAGTTTGGTTATTCTAGCTTTTATACTTTCTGAGATCCTTGCGTGCATACAGACAGACGGACAGACGAACAGACAGACGGACATGGCTATATCGACTCGGCTTGTCATCCTGATCAAGAATAATATACTTTGTGGGGTCTGCCACGCCTCCTTCTATGTGTTCCATGTACACTCGCACAAAACTAATTTACCCTTTTACCCTTTGGGTACAGGGTATAAAAATACATTTTTGTATAAGAATTTTTTGAAGAGCATTTCGAAACAAATCCGTATTCCCATCGTTTTCATATCTGAATATAAATGCCTTACCATTGAAATACTTTGAGTCGGCATTAATAATAATAAACGCCATTATTATGCCCTGTCCTCAAAGGGTAAAACGGGGGTTCTATAAATTTAGATCGCTACTTTCTCAATAACGGTTCTGTTCTTATGGTAGCCACGTCCCTCGGTTATAGAAATTGAAATGAATCAAGTCTGCTGCCGCAAATTAAACTACATAGAAATAATGCTTCAGTCAATGCTGGGCTCAATTGATGTTTTTCTCAAGCACAATTTAGCTCTATTTGAAACGAATTTAAGCGGAATTTGACTTAATTAATTAATTACAAATTAAATCATTTGCAAGAGCTCAGTTGTAATGTCTAGGAAACGCTCTATTTAGCGTCTGCAATCATTATGTCCGCAATTGTAAGCGCAACACCAAGGTCTAATCTTACTAAGAGCTAGAATATAGAAACAAATTGAAATAAATTACAATTACAATTAGAAGAGTACATACGCTGTTGGGCAAATACTGCCATCAAGGCCAGAATTAAAAACACCGCACTTAAAGGAAAGTACATTATTGACTCATTCGATATATTATTGAACTAGTCTTTATAGTAAAAATTCGTCACAGATTACAGCCAAGTCTAATCGCAATTGAACACATATCTGAGGCCAAATCTAAAAGTAATACATAAACAGACACCTGCTAGTTTATTTTTCCAGTAATTTCAGGGTTTTTGTTTACGTTTGGAAAAACTCTCAACTTAGCCTTTGCATTGAGAATGTCCGCAATTAAATAGGCAACACCAAGGTTTAATTTTCAGAGGCTTCTTTGAAGCTAGAACATGCAAAGCATTTATGTAAAAGCTAAACTCACAATTGCAATAATACTTACGCTTATGTTGCACCTTTGTTGTAGCTTAGAGGAAATCACAATTAGTTACGAAAGTATAAGGAAATGAAACTTACAATTTCCTGCAGACATTTTTTGTTCCTGACCAGAACCTAAAGCAAATATGGCCATGAGGGCCACAATTAAAAGCACTGCCCGTAATGGAGAGAACATTTTTGACGCAATCTATATCTTGCAGCTGTCTTTATAGAAAAATTGTCGCTCATTAGAACCGTATCTAATGACTGATACAGCCGAGCTCCCGCCGATCTACTGAATTGGTAAAGTATGGCTGGGTTTACAATTTAAAGAAAAACAAGTAAAAAAGCTAAAGTCGGGTGTCCCGACTTTGAAATACTCTGTACATATGTGTACAGTAATTACAGAAAAAAAAAAATTAAGAGAATTAAAAAAAGTTACGATTTGCGGTAGAGAGAGGGGAGGGAGGGAAATTTCAAAATACACATTTTCTGCATTTCCGCATTCACATAAGGCATCTTGGACTAAAATTTGCTGTTCCTAGGTCTTATAGTCTCCGAGATATAGGCGATTATACGAATGGAAAATCGGGGAAAATGGGGAAAACCCCCATAGGGGGGAAGTGGGGGAAAATCAAAAAATAAAACAAACTTGCAAACTTCTTATAGTCTCCTTCTGCCTGGTACATTTTTCAGTTACCGCAATCCTAGTATACTCATGTACAGAGTATAAAAACCTTATATTAAAAAAGTTCCCATTATAGTAACGGAACTTAGGAACTTTATGAAAATGACAAATTCTGCCATTAAAGCCCCAACGAACAAAAGAGCATCTGAGCATTTTATTATTTTTTTATACCTTGTACTTGTATTGCAGTTTGTAGAGATCGGAATTTAAATGATTCGTTGCAGGTTATATCACGCCTAAAGCTTTTTTATGGACTAAATATAGAATGATAAGCTTTTCATGATTTATTTAGCAATACAGTGAAAACTCCCTTAATGGACACCTCTTTTATGAGGACACTCTCTTCGGCGGACACTTTTTCTAAAAACATTCGATCGGTGTGTGAAGTATTTAAGTATCCCCTGAAGCGGACACTTCCCTTGGGCGGGCAAAAAATGGACGGCCAAGAGAGTTTTCACTGTACATTGTTGTGTTTCTTTGCAATAGGTCTACTGTTAGAGAAGCTACAGCCTTTCTTGTGGAAGGATAGCTTCAAGGGTATTTTAGAGTTGGGCTCCCTCGAATCTAGCATTAAATTCTTTAACTGACATCACCCATAGCTAAAGTATCGACTGCTCTATTTTGTAATAACATTTAGAGGAATGTTCGATACGTATAGTTTGGTTTGGTCTTTCTAAGTGTTGCTTGTCAACTGATCAACCTTTTTTATTGGCCCACTTCCCTTGTGAAATAATATCCTTCAAAGCTGGCTTTCTGTATGCTAATTTGTTGGCTCTGCCATTTCGCGGAATACCCAATGGAGCTTGGCTCTCTATTTACCGTTCCCAGCCATTCCATGTCCAACATGTCCAGCACACTCGCATGCTCGACACACCTTCATACCCGATACGAGCAATTGCTACTCTTATTATTTCACTTCACACCAATAAAAAAACGAAAAGAAAAAAAGCAAAGCAAAACGAGTTGTGATGAGTGCAGGCAGCACGAAATACCTTTGAGCCGTAAATAAGCAACTCAATGAGCAGCTCAGCCATAAGCCATCAGCCGAAGCCGAACGCCAGAGCACGTGCCTCATAAACCACCAAGCGAGCGGCGAGACCACCCAGGGAACGATTTGTGCAGTCATTCCATGAATTCTTTGGAAGCTCAGCGAAAAAAAAGCAGAAATAAAAATAAAAGACCAGCCAGGCTGTCAGACTGTGGCTTTGGCGAATCCGCTGTGGCTAATGCGGTGGGGTAGTGGGGAGGGGCAGGGGAGGGGAGAGGTGAGGGGAGTCCACAAACATTTCACATTTCACCAACTCACTCATGACTAAGGCATAGCTTTTAGTATGCTAAGGATGTCGTTGGGGTTGTGGCTTCGTGGCTGCGTCATGCCTGCGTCTCGCCTGGTTATTGTCGAAGTTAAAATTATGCATGCGTCTCCAAAGATATGTAAATTTTTGTTGGATAAAGCTGACACAGCGCCCACGCAGGCGCATTGTTATGGTCGTAATCGTAGCCGAACGGCGAACCAACGACCACGATCACGACCAAGACCAAGACCAACACCAAGACGACGACATCATCACAAAACGAAATTAATTTGACAACCAACGCAAAACGCATGCGCCGTCAACATTTTTCACCGCCTCCCGCCCTCATCAACATCTGCATCTGGATCTGTATCTGCATCGGAATCTGCACCGAGACAGACCCACTGACGGGCCCAGCTTATCGCCTTACTTTTGTATCTTGTATCTATCTTAAGCTTGTTGTTTTGTTGACTTGCGTGTTCTTTCTTTATTATTTTATGTTGTTTCTTTATTGTTATCGTCGTCGCAGTCACATTAACACATGTTACTCGAAAATGGGTTATAGCTTTGCGATTCGCTTAACTGCCGATGTTGGAGCGGGCAATCCAATAAACAATGCAGTTAAACCAAATTGCTGCTGACCAAAACAAGTTAACATTTCATCTTGACCAGGTAAACCCTTAACGATAATGGTTCTTTAATAATCAATCAATTCAATCTACCAGAAAAATGCAGTTTCAGAAAATCTGTAATCTGTTTGAGATAGAAGATAGGGCCTTACTCCTTATTTAGAGTGTGATTCGGAATGTGGATACTTTTGTTCCCTGCTTACAAAGCTTGTGCTACTATTAGTACTAGGTTAGGGACTGTTCGTTTTTATTGTTGACGAAAGGTATATTTTTGGTTTTATTCCTGTACTTATTATTTGTTTATTTTTATAATTTTTATTATTTGTTAAAATTTGAAAGTCTTGCTATTAAGTCAAATAGCCTTTCAAACTGCAAATGTCTATCTGTCCTGGGATTGTTCTGGCAAATAGATTTCATTGAAAAAATATCTCCTATACAGGAAGTTATAGTTAGTACGACGTACTGCAATACTACAATAGGCTATAATGGATTATAAATTAGAAAACATCATCGCGACATTAGTCGTTTTTTTTTCAATTCAGCATCTACTTATGGGCGGAATTAAGTTTGTAGAACTTGTGAAACTCAGACTCCAGCAATATGCCAGTTGTTATTTGTATCTCATGGAACCGCAATTACAACAATTTACTCTATCCAATACGGTATTGATGATTACATTGCGATAAGCAAATTTTATTATACAAATATTTAAATTTTATTCTTTGCGAGTTTGTGTGCAATTTATTTGCCCGTCTATTTGTATTTAAAAGACTTTCTAAATAAATTTCAAGTCTCTTTCATTCATTATTACAATAAATACAAGCAAAAAAAAACTAGTGTACATTTATACGGCTTACTCAGTTATAAATTGTTGAAAGTGGAGTTGAGCTGTGATGGCTGGCCCCGACCACCCACGAAGCTCTTTCCATTGAGACTGAGCTACAAAAACAATTAAGGCAATAACATTTAAGAGCACAGCACTCTGTGTGTGTAATCCGAAACAAAACCAAACAGCAAAAGTTCCCTCGGAAATGAGTCGAAATGTCGCCACGCGTAGGTTTCGGTTGCCAAATGATAACCGAAAAGCCATCGATCGGAGACCCAGCCCGGAGCAGACCCGAGTAACAGTCACTTCAGCAAAAACGACAGCAACAAGAGCAGCAACAGAAACAACAACAACAACAGCAGCAGCAGCAGCAGCAAAGTGCATGACAGGACCACACAAGACGCTGGAAAAGCCACACACACACAGGCACCCATACATACATACATAACCATCAAACCGAACGATGTGGTGGCGGTGGCGACTGGGCGGTAGATTACACAAGCGAGTCGAGCGATCTGGCCGACCAAAGACCCATCCATGATGATACAGACGTCGACGAGACGATAGGGACGCAGTCGCGTAACCGCAAAAGCCGACGCCAAGATAACGAGTAAAAAACATTCAAACACACATACACACACACACACACACACACACACACACACACACACACACACACACACACAAACTACTTGGCCGCTGCCGATGGAAAGGGGTAGGGGAGGAGAAAAGGAGGAATTGGGTGATAGGCTGGACAGGGAAGCAGGGCAGTGGCTATTACTGTGGTTAAGGCGAGCGACACGTATTACCGGTGGCAAATAGTAATTATTACATTAAATTCACCGCAATAATACAACAACAACAACTGCTGCAGCAACAGCAGCAACAACAACAACAACAACTGGACGGTCTGCACAACAACATCCAACGATCGTTGCAAATGACGATGACGATGACGCAGACGAAGACATCGCATTAATGCGGCAACAGTGTCCTGTCCAAGTGCCGCAAAGCTTTCTAACCGAGTGCAGTTAAACGTTAAGTGGCGGTGGTGCTGCGAGTGGTTGGCGCATTGGCGACAGTCCGTCCCCGTGCCGGTTAGTAATGGCGTTATAGGCCACTGACAAATGCAATTGCCCGATGATGCCGTCCATGGCATTGGGAAGCCGGGCGGTGGAGGGGTGGGGTCATCAGCGGCGTTGTCGCACTATAAATTAAGACATTATACGATTAAAACAAACAACGTGTCACAGAGAACGAGAGAAAGAGAAAGAGAGGGAGAGAGCGGAAGACATAAGTAAAATAGGAAATCTTTCTAAACCTGCATCCCAGAAGCTACATTAGGCGAGTACTCGCAGAAAATCATATACTTGTACAGCAATTCCTAAATGTTTTTTCAGATAATATATTGGAAAAAAACGTTCATACAAAAAATAATTTCAAAACATGGGCCAGACTTGTAGATACATTTGCGTGCCGAAATTTGGTGTCAACTACAAAAGTCCCAAAAAGACAGATAGTCCTAAATTAGATTTTACAAAGAGGTAAACAAGAAGTAACATCTATACTCAAAACATCAACTATTTTGTGTTGAGTCGATCCATAAGAGATGCTGAAAGCCTCTTCTACATTTCCAAGGCCAACGGCAAGATTTTCGTGCTAAATTTCTTGACTTTTCCTATAATATCGTCCTTAACATAGGTGGATGGTGCCACCCAAATGCTTGCATACACAAACGAGAAACATCTCCCTTGAACGAACGTGTAAATGGACCAGTCTGATTATTAGAAGGTAAAATCGAATTCCTTCAAATACGATTTAAGCAGAACTATAAGCATGTGCGAGTATAATATGTACATATACATACATAGATATGTACGTTGAATAATCATTGTTTCAGCAACAAACAACACATCCAATTTTTAAAAAACATGTCTCCTTTATTTGATGTGAATGATAACCAAAAGTCTGATGTTAAGAAAAAGTTGCTCGCCGCATATCTAGGCAACAACTCTGAGAGTCCCTAGAAACAGCAACAGCAACAGCATCAGCAGCAACAACAACAACAACCTCTAACAGTGAGGTCGGACCAGGCCGGCCGGGCAATGTGTTTGTTGTTGCTTTTGCGGCTGAGCTTCTCAACTGAAACGGCAAATGAAGCTCTCAACCTCAACGTTGGTGGTCCACTGGCAGCTGCGCCGCAGCAACCGCCAACGTCGCCATCGACAGACAGGCACGGGTATAGCAGTTGCTGCTGTGAGTGAGTTTGTGTGTGCGTGTGTGTGTGTGTGTGTGTGTGTGTGTTTTGGGGAGCATTGGAGCTGCAGGCGAATTGAACAACGCAAACTGCAAGTCATTGAGAGCAAAAAGTTGAGAGTCATTCAATGCATTGTGCTTGTGTATGTGTGTGCATGTGTTTGTGTGTGTGCGTGCTTGGTGCAATCTGCAGAGAGCAACGTAAATGGATAAAGCTAAAATATGCGAGTCTGAGTTTGCGAGACGGCGGCAAAAATGCCGCCCATGTCGCCAAAAAAAACCACACATACACATATACAAACAAAGAGAGGCGGAGGAGGAGAAAAGGAGGGGGATAAGAAACCAAGACTATGCCTCTCTGGAGGTCATTTTCCAAGCAGGAACAGCAATCACAACAACACATTTTTTACGTTGATATAACATTAGTGTGTTGGAAGGCAGGGCGAGCAGGTGAGACAGTTGAGCAAATAAAATAAAGCCAAACCGGCGATCTTCGACTACCCCGCCACGTATACACTTTATGCAGTGATCCCAAAAAAAGACAAGCTAATATAAAATAAAACAACTCGAATGATCTTCGACACCACACACTTCTTGCCAATAAACATAATGGTTTTCTATTTTCATTTAAAAGAAAAAAATGTTGGCCAACAATTTTATACATTTTGCACAAATAATTTAATTTAAAAAAATATTAAAAAAAACACATATAATCTATTAAGCTTCACTTCCTTTAATAAGTGATTATGGAACAAATGGATTAAAACAAATCGAAACAAATATAACCCCTCAGTGTGTGTAAAAAGTTACCGAAAGTTATATTTTGAATTAATGAAAAATAGAGTATTAAAATAAAAACTATCCAATAAAATAAATAAAACTATCCAACGACTATACTATACAAATTATTCAATCCATTTTATTTAATTATGATGAACCCATTAAAAATATTCAATATCTTCTTAAGCCATAACTCAAAATCATAATAATAATAGAATATAGTATATGGTCTGAGCCCCGGTTATCCGCCTCTACTAATCAGGAATATATATTACCACAAATGCTGAGTGGTTGATTTTATACCTCTATTAACCGTGATTACCCTCTTTTACTTCTGTAAGAGTATGTCCATTTTCGCTATAATGTTATGTTTGGAAATCAAGGGACTAGAGCCGAAAAGCTGTCCCAAAATGCATGTCCCTTATCATAAACTGTTTTTGGATTTTTATAGTTTCGATGGCAAAACTGGAAACACTCTTTTCAACTGTTACTTAGACTAAGACTCTAGACTATCAAAGATATAGTAATCCAACATCTGTATGGATGGTAATTATTGACTTTGTTAGATCAGGAATCTGTCATGTGTTACAGGCAGTTAAAGTTCATGCCAAACAAATATGCTCTCTCACATATGTAAAATAAAGGGTGGTAGAAAACTAAATAACAGCAACAACAACGAACGCGTGGTCGTGTGTAGCACGTCATCAACGTTGTTGTTGTAATTGTTGTTTTTGGATTATAATAGCCGCGTACTGGTGGGTCTACTTGTATGCCACGATGTTGAATTTGTATGCAATTGCGGTTGGAGCGCCAATTCTTACGATAGGCACTTGTCTATAGCGTGTGCATTCGTCTGTATGTGTGAGTGTGCGAATAAGACGCTTGTAAGTATGTATGTGTGTGCTCATATATGTTGCTTTGCATTTTCATTCATAAATTCCGCCGGAGAAGTTCCAGTATTATGAAATGAATTGCATGCACTGCTATAACAAATGTGATCTATTAAGTGCCATACACATCTCCAACAATATAGCGACACGATTTATAAAAATTGCCGATTCACATACTTGTGCTTAAAATGATTGCGATAAGGAACCTTAAATTTTTTTAAAATATGTCCCCGCAATATCAGAAGTTTTAAGTCGGGATCAGTTAAATTATATTGACCACACATACATACATATGTGCACATAATACATCTAAAAAATTTGAAGAACGCCTTTCTTCTTCATTTAATTACAAAGGTTTTAGTTTTTTGGACAAAAGCTCATTGTGTTAAAATTTCAAAAAAATTTTCTCTGAAACCCATAAACTATTGTTTTTGAAAATTATTTTAAAGCACGTTAAAGTACGTTGAATGGGATAACAATTCATTTAATATTAATATTGAACATACCTAGTTGTATTTAAATCCAGCTTTTATCTTTCAGGTGGCTTAGCAAACATTTTTCTATATTTGACAATTGTTTTTTATAAAAAATACTTTGAGTAGCCCGCTCAACCATAAACATTATGTTTTTAGCCAAAAACTTTTGCAATATTCAAAAGACAATACTTCAAACTGCTTGAAGAAATCAATTGTATGAGTTTTTGTGGACACAATCGAAAAACAAAAATCAAATAAAAACGCCACACATTCCCATAAATTGATGGCTTGAGTTAAACTTCTTGGGTGGTCTAGAAAGATGAGCACGCAAGCTACGAAAAAAAATCCTGCTCATAATTTAGCATCAAACCCCCTGCAAAAACAGACATCAGGAGCAAAAGACAGCAAAACCCGCGACAGCGTCATCGGCAATAACAATAACAACAACAAGAACAACAAGAGCTTAAAGCTAACAAATTTGCCAACAATTCACAGCGAGCTCATACATACAAACAGCCGCACACAAACCTACATATGTATGTGTGTTTGTAGAGGAAGCGGAGCCTACCATGCACGCACGCGCCTCAAAGCAACAAACTACAGACAAACATGCACACACAGGCAACTATAAAAGCTAACACACATTCACACACACACATGCACACAATCATAATACATACGTATGCATGTTTGGGTATAGAAGTAGTGCCTGCGACGAAGGCCGCCAACAGTGTACGAGGACCACCCACATACCTGACGAGCGGCTGCCGCTTTTAATGACGTCGTAGCAACAAATTTATTTAACGAAATGTACAACATTGGGTGGTCTTGTCAGCAATAAAACTAACAACAGCAACAACAACTGCCGCAAAAGCCAACGGGCGCGCATTGTGTGGTCGCAAAACAATAATAACAACAAAAACAGCAACAGCAACAAAAGAGAGCGAAAAAACTAAGCAACGCTTTCAAAACTTTATTTAAACAATTTACTGCTAGCCATAAAGTTTCAGAAGAACTGCACTCGCTCTCAAACTGTCCATTTGTGTAGCCCTGTAGAAGCGAATATTAACGTTGACAGAGAGAACAGCCTGCAAATTTAAAAACCAAAATGGCCGCAACAGCAAAGAGACCAACAGAGAGAGGGAGAGAGCGAGAGCAATCAACACTGCAGGCGTTTGTATGTGTATGCGATGGCGAGAGCGCGAGCACATAGATACGCTAATAAAGTTGTTGAGTGGCTCTGAGGGGCGCATCTACGAGATACAGCAGATACATCTCTCAGACTGCGTGCGATCCTCGAACGAAATGGTTGTGTTATGCGGCACAAACGAAACGCGTTGAATATTTCTTGAAATTAAGTAAAAATTTAAAAGCGAATTCGAACAAACCCAAACGTAAAACACAAATCGTCATAAATGCACAAATATTATTAAAAAAGAAGGCAATGCTGTTAAATCGTTAATTAAATTTTCATCAAAATTACAAGCTTCAAACGTCTACGTGCGCAAAGTGTAAAATGTACATATTATAAAACGAAAAGAAACGCAGAGCGGAGCGAAGCGGAGTAAAAGAGCGGAGAAATAAAGAAAAGAAAAAACGTGATGCATGCAGCTTTGTGTGTTTTAGTTTTCGAAAATGTGTAAATTATTTGTGAAAATTATTGAAAATTTCATAAAAAATGTGCACAAATGTGCGGCTGGTGTGGCGCATAGCTAAATAATAGCAACAACAACAGCAGCAATAACAACAAAACGCAAAAGTTTAACAAAAACAAAATCAACGCTCTAATCACAACAAAACAAACGAGTGAGAGAGAGAGAGAGAGGCGAGACGGGATGAGACAAGTGCGTATGGAGCGATTGTACACAAAATGCATCACAGAATGCAATTAAACCAAATAAATATTTAAACAAATACTGAATTGTATTTAGTAACAATAAAAACAACAAAAATAAACAATACACACACACATATGTACGTTAATTCGGAATCAGACTCGGAGTACTCGCAGTGAGCAGACTGGCTGTATAAACAAAATTCTACGCACATTGGTAGCACTGTTCTACCTCTCGCTCACGCGTCGCTGTCGCCGAGTACGGGCAATACCGTCAACGTCAGTGTCTGCAGCGGCAGCTGCATCTCAAGGTAGTTTCTAGTGTTTCTGTACCGGTACCGTGAGCGGACATGGTCGTGCCCACAATGGATAGCCTGCCGCGCGTTCCCGACACACATGGCGACATCGTCGATGAGAAATTATTCTCGGATCTATACATACGGACCAGCTGGGTGGATGCGCACGTTGCGCTCGATCAAATAGATAAGGTAAGTGGCCGAAATGCTAATTCCCGAGTTCCCCAAACAAACAGCGTCTTGGTCCGGCCCCAGGCAAAGCTCTCAGCCAGCGCGCTTTTGTTAATGAAGTCATTAGGCCGTTGAGACAGTTTTCAATAAATTTTATTGCTAGTATCTGCGCGGTTTTTTGTCGCGATGCGTCGCGTCGTAGCCGGTGTCTTTTCATTTTCATTGTACCGCAGAATTCTGGGCTGATTTTTATTTTGCTTTTTTGTACATTTTATTCCGCATCTTGTTTTTGCTCAATTTGTTTTAATAGAGTTGTTTGACTTCAGCGGCTGCTCAAAGCCCATTGACTGAACATATTGTTGTTGCCATTTTTTTTTATTTTCACTTTTATGGCCGTCATTGGCAGTAGAAGTAGCTTTTTGTTTTATTATTAATTACAGTGTTTAGCTAAGAGGATTATTAAGTTGTAAAAGCGAAACCCGTATCAAAGTAAATCCCGTCAAATGGGATGTTAAAAGCTTGAAACTTGAACTGGCAGTGGATGTGAAGATAAATATTTGCAATATATGAGAATTGTTTGATTTCAAAGAGAGGGGATATTTGCCTTATAATGTGGATAAAGTAGAAAGACATACTAATAAGATACTTTCTTATATTAGTAAGATAATGGTTAGGTCTCTTTAATGATGATTAGATTTGTGTGATTTGTTTTTGTTCGTACGAAAGAACAAATGCGATTTAAAATTAAAGTAAACTCAATTCACACATTTGTGAAACCATTTGAAGGAGCGATATTGCAAAGAGTGCTGTCGAAGATAGTTTTGCAATCCCTAATTCTTTTAAACCTTATGATACATAAAGCGATAAGTTGAAGAACTTAGTTTCAACTACAATTTGTGTTTCTTAACTCTGCATTTATTGTTATCAAATTATTACTCATACGCACCATAGGGCTACTTAATAAAGCAACATTGAAGCTATTTCTAAGAATCGGGAATTAAAATTCACTTTAGACCCAGCTACTAGACGATTCTATCCAGACTAAAGCAAGTGGATCATAATCGAGTTGAATTTATGCGCATCCAGTCAAAAGTACTTATTTGTTCCAAACTGACGATGCACAGATCTTAGACGGTCCTCAACATATTTTCACTAGCTTTTACTGACAGCTGCCACAGCAGCAGCAACAACAGCAACAACAAAAGGCATAAATTGTACATACTATGTATGCATGTGTGTACATATGTATGTATGTACATATGTATGCAAGTCAAAGATATTTTCACTGAACCCATCATGGCTCGCTGGCTTTTGCTCGCAGCAGGGCCGGGACGCGCCAGCCAACTTGGTCAGAGGAGTTCCGGAGCGGAGCCAAGTCAGCGAAGACAACTTCATTACGTTGACTTTTTGTGCTACTGTGCGGCTGGCACGTTGGCGTCGTTGGCTGACCGCAAAAAGTGCAACAACAACAAACCTCAACAAAATGTGTCGAGCCCAAAAAAAGAGAAGAAAATGAGGGAAAAAAGCAGGCTGGATGGCTGCAGCAGGAGCTCAATGTAAATGTGTAGAAAAGCAGTCAGCAAGCCAACAAGCAAAACAACAACATGCCAGTCGAAAAAGGCAAAAAGCTCGCAGCCAGCAACAACAGCAACAAAATAATAAACAACAATCGCGCGCGCGCACCAGAGATGGAAAAAAAAAACAACAAACCGCATGCTGTTGACTGCAGAGCGTTGCTCTTGTTGTTGCTGTGTATGTTTTATTTTTGTTTTTGTAGCTCATGCCAGGCCAGCAGCCCCATGCGCTGCCGCGCCGCTGCCAACCATGGGTGGTCAATGCTGTCGCCAGCATTCTGACTCTCAGACATGCAAGCGTCGCTACCAGCTTGTCTCTCTCCCTCTCTCTCTTTCTCTCTGTTATTATTGTTGCTGCTGCTGCTGCTGCTGCGATTGCCTTGCTCAACATTTTGTTATACTCTGTAAAAAGCGAGTCAATCGTAATGCAAACAAAGCGGCTTTATGGAGAAAAAGTTATATCGAAATAATGGTTCCTTTGTACAAATTAGTGTTGCAAAGAATCTACTTTCTGTAATACTCTGGTATTTGCAACATGACATGCGCATAGCAGTAATTGCAGTTAATATCGTAAACGAAGTACTTTTTGAACAGTTGTTTATAGCCTTTCGATTGAAATAATTGTGTTTTGATATAATCGTAAAAGATACATACTCTACCTACAATTCAAAAATAAATATACTGCAGTTTTTTTTAATTATTTTTGTGTACCGATCAGAAATTGAGATAAATCCGTCAATTACTGGATTTGATTGAGTAATGCAATATAAAACAAGTAAAAAAGCTAAAGTCGGGTGTCCCGACTTTGAAATACTCTGTACATATGTTTACAATAATTATAGAAAATAAAAAAAAAAAATAAATAAAAAAAAAATTGGATCGATTTTACCTCTCTCGGTATTCGAACTCACGTAAAGGGTGTATAATTGCACATTTACATAGCAATTGCGTCTGTGTGAGTGTATGTATGCCTATGCGCATCTATTCGTGTCTGTGTAAGCATTTTCGCAGTCAACCAAACAGCAACATCAAGAACAGCCGCGGGCAGCGCTGCAGCAGCAAATATATTTATGGCTATAACTTCTTGGTAAATCGGTCTATCATAGTGAAACTTGGCATACGGACACATAATTACTAACTGGGGGTATTTGCAATTTTAGTTCGAAATTCCAAGAATTACGGGAGTTAGAGAAAATCGCATTTGCGGGGGAGAGGGGGGAGGGAGGGAAATTCCAAAATATACATTTTCTGCGTATTCACACAAGGCATCTTGGACTAAAATTTGGTGTACCTAGGTCTTATAGTCTCCGAGATATAGGCGATTATACGAATGGCAAATCGGGAAAACCCCCATAGGGGGGAAGTGGGGAGGAAAATCAAAAAAATAAAACAAACTCGTATAGAATACATACATAACGCATCTTCGTGCAAAATTTGGTGTCTCTATCTCTTATAGTCTCTGAGATCCAGGTGTTCATACGGACGGACAGACGGACAGACGGACAGACGGACAGACAGACAGACAGGGCTAGATCGACTCGTCTTGTCACGCTGATCAATAATATATATACTTTGTGGGGTCTGCCACGCCTCCTTCTGCCTGTTACATTTTTCAGCTCCCGCAAACCTAATATACTCTTGTACATTTCATGTACAGAGTATAAATACCTCTACAATAGATGTACAAAAAAGTGGAAATAAAGAAAATCGTGTACCTTTAAATTATGTTTCAAATCACTTTAAGATGCATTTTGGGATGCATATATAGTACTGGAAAAGACAAAGATACGATCACTTTGTTATGCCCATTGGGGTGGCTAAGAAACTTTCAAATACTTAATATCGATTTATATTTTTCTTTCTTTCCTTCTTTGATAATATTGACTACAATACTTTTGGCTGATAATTTGAAGAGACGTTTTTTGCTGCAGGAAGTATTTCCTTTTGCCGTTAAATATATACATAAATGGCAATCGTTTAGTTTTTCAGAAATAATGGGGAATAATGACATCATGGATGTTGAAAAAATATGTTGTATAAGTTAAATATATAATATATAAAAATATATCTTCGATATTAATATTGTATATGAACAACAACAACAACCCAATAGTTCCTAAATAGAGCATGCAATGTTCGTTCGAATTGCTGCAGCTAGCGCATTTTATTTATTTTGTGATTCGTTCGTTTTAATTTTTGGTTGCTGGCCCGGCTCGGCCCGGCCCCAGACTGCCGTTTGTTTTGTATACTCGTACTGTTTCTTCTTCTTCTTTTGTATGCCAAAAGCGTTTCGTTGTGGAAGAATTGTAGAGGCAATTGCTGCCACACACGGCGCGTCACGTCAGCTAGAAACAAACAAATGGACAGAGAGACAGACAGACAGTCGGCTATGATAGACAGACATACGCACAGCACATACAGTGCCCATATGTTGTGGTTTTTCGTGCGCGCGGGTGGGCCGGCCTGCAATACTCGTGATGCCAGTCAACTAAAAAGAAAAAAAAAACATTCAAAAATTTCCCTGACGCACGCGCTTTTGATTGCGCTCGAGCACAGTGGCTGCTAAACTGTGCGCGGCCCACCAGCAAACAGCAGCAGCTACAGCAACAATAACAACAACAACAAGACGACGAAAAAGAAGAGCCCGGAGCCAACGGTAATGATGCTGGCCTTACCTTTTCTTCTACTATTTTCAGCTTCTTCTCTTCCTCTTCTGCTTTACCTTTTGCGGTGCTTTTTACAACTTGATGTCTTCATCATTGTTGTTGCTCTGGGTGGTGGTGTTGTTGTTGTTGCTGCTGCTGTAGCTGTGGCGACCGCGTGGCGTGTCTTGTGCAACACACAAAGCTTGCTGCTGACTCTGTTATTCATTGTTGTTATTGTTGCTGTTGTTTCTCTCCTCTTTTTTTGTGTATCTCAATTATTTCTCGTAAACTCGAGACGGCGAGAGGACGTTGTAACTTTGTAGTCGTTGTAGTTGTTGTTACTGTTGCTATTGTTGTTGCCGTTGTTGTTGTTGTTGCTACAACGACCAGACCAGCCACATTGAACTTCTCGAAAGTTGTGGCAACGTTTTGCTTTTTGAAAGCCAGCGATCAATGTGGGCTGCAGATCGATTGCGATGCCAACTGCGCTGCTGACTGCTTCGTTGACTGCGACTGCGACTGAGGTGTGGTCGTGCTTTGGCTGCAATGATTGCTATTGTTGTTGTTGTTTTCGTTTTCTGTATTTTACTCGTGACGGCGCCGCCGCCAACAACAACATGGGCGATTTATTTTAATGACTCAATTTAACGAAATATATTAAGACATTAAAATTGTCTAACAAAGCAACAGCAACAGCAGCAGCGAAAACCAACAAAAGTGTGCAGTTTTTTCTGTCGTTTGGCATAAGCCGCAAAATTATGCAAATTTTTATTTCGACGAATTCGATACGCGTTATATTTAT